CATTTCGACGCGGTCCACTAAGCATAAACCACCCTTTTGAACAATTCCGGGAAGGAAGCCTCATGAACTAAGTCAACATTAATGTTGTATTAAGAGCCAAATTGCTGCAGGATAAATAAAATTGTCAAATGTCTTCCGATAAAATCAACCGATGAATATCTTCATCATGCACTTTCATAATAAATAAAGTCTCCTTAATAATAAGCACAGGTATGTCAGGAATGTGGTCCTTATTAAGGTGTCCTATAAAGTTTAAGAGTGAAACTAACCGTTTATAATATAATTTATAACTAATAGTTAATAGGGCTTTTATAAACAAAGTTGCATACCTTAAAATTTTTATAAAATAAATAAAGAATATAATTAGTACACAAGCAGTTACACGATAATACAGCAAAACTCATAGGTTGGAATCAAGTATAAAGTCGCTTACTTGTATAATTTGTTGTAAGTGTTCATCTGATACATCCTGAGTAGTAATGTACTGATTACCCTGTTGTATTATTCGAATTGGATTTTTATTTGAGCCAACAGGAGCATTGGGATCAGAAACCGGCATTCTTTCATTGATCTTCTGGACCTCCTCAAGATCGATAGGCTCGATACCTATGTCATCTGGATTTTGTTCATCGGAAACAAGATTTTGAGCATTGTGATCCCCAACAAGCATAACATCGGGTTGTTGATATTCCGTGTTATAAGTCGGATGGGCCCGACCTCGTAGCGCCACCGCCGAAGAATATTGTGTAGAATCTCTCTGAGAAGCGTACATCTAAATAGCATCAGCAGATCTAAAATAGTTAAAACCTATCAAAAGTTAAAAAAATATCAAGTAGAATGACGCAGTGGAGATAAGCATAACGGCATTAATAAAAGGGAACTAACAGAAGCTTAGTCCCAGATACAAATGTACATTTTTCTACCATAATTCTTATGTTACTGCTAAATTAACTGGATGAAGGAGAGACATGATTGATGACTTAAAGGTATAAAAGAGTTGTTAGAGTATATAAATCCTGGTAAAATAAACTAGGAAAATGAGCGCGAAGTGATTTTAAATACATGGAATAGAAAGATTTAATAAAAATAAATGCAAAATCTGGCAGATTTATTGTTTAAGGTGATAAAGGACTGGTAGTGGAATTTTCCCATAATGATATAAGTTTACATAAAAGTTCGCATAACCATGCTTTCCCAAAGGATGTCCTCATCCAGGATAGACTGCAGTTTCAGCCTCGCTTAGGTCTAATCAGCTGCTAGCTGGAATCGTAACCATGACAGACGAGCGTGTAATGTCGACACGTTAGGCAATACGCTGCATTGCCAGTAGTGCCCTTAATTCAACAGACATATGTGAATTTAAAGATAGATCAGGAATTTTCCATTTCGCATTCTATGTTGGTATCGCTGATTAACCAAAATTATATTTTTTATAACAATTAGCGACGTTACTTATTTCGTTAGTGAGTAGGTTTTCGATAACATTAATGAAATAGTTAACACAGTTCATATACCTGATTTACTATAGTATCGCAAAAAAAGAAAGTACAATGGGGTAAAGCAATGAGGCAAAAAAATGCAACTGCCCTCTTGGTATGTTGATACTAAATTAATATGAGTAAAGTTAAACGGATAAGAAAATAGCCTAACGCTTGTAGAGTTAAATGAAATTTTGTATGAGCGATTAAAAATAGGAAAATGTCTTTCATAAAATAATTAGTTAGGCGTATGGAAAATAATGTCAGGTTTGGAAAGAAAATATAAAACAAAATAAACGATTGAAATAGTAGCATTGAATCAAAAAGAAAGTTAAAAGACAACCGATTCTTTTGCGCCTAGGATTAATCAATTGCAAACAAGACAGCAAAAAGTAGAAAAGAGATACAATTAATAAGAAAATAAAAAATATATTAAGTCAAAAATGTCTGTTGAGTAATAATATAGTTAGCAGGATGCAATAATATATTAAGAGTTAAATAAAAGCCAATTTAAAAATGAATCAAATAAATAGTTAAAAAGTTTGAGCAAACCATGAAGAGTGCTTGAACATGAAATATAAAAATCATAGATTTTGATTGATGCGGTGATGATTTAAACAAGTGTACAATTTACAATATAAAGAAAAATAACATGTAAAGAATATAATAAAATTAACAAGTATTATGAAAATTTGATCTATTAGAGGTAGATGAGATAATATAAAGGTTCATTGTACCCTTCAAGAGTTTTTTCAGGTTAGCCACTGAAAATATTTGCTATTCACTTAAACACTCAAAGGATTAAATCCCTAACTCCTACGATTAAAAAAATTACTATAATTCCTGTAGGATTTAGAATAAGAATAATTTATTTTTATATGTCTGCTTTTTATATAAAGTTATGTTTTATTTTATAGATGGCGCTTTTCCCTAATAATTCCGCCAACTAATCCTGCAAAATACCAGAGCATGCT